ATAATTGTAATTGACTCATTAATCACTGTCAACTTCATCTGTTTATGAAAAAAATTATGTAAATAAACATTTTTTGTTGGAGCTCCGACTAAAAAAACTTGGATTTTTATTTTACTCTAACTAGGTTCAAAATATATTTCATATATTACTCAAAAATTGACCTAGAACTTGACATTATAATCGTAAAATATCCATGTTCGCATACATATATTCGTTTGATTAGGCATTTAAATGTACAACGGAGTTTCCGCCGGTCCAGTTTGATCGAAAATATTCCGATTCGGCAATCGATGACCGGAATACTAAATTGGACCTAAAAGTTACGCATCTTCTTCTGGTATCAAAAAAATCACGTTTCCACATGCAAATAGGATAAAGTAGTACAAAGCCGAATTTGAATGAAAAAATAAATTAAAATTCCAGAAACAATTGTAAAATTGTTTCAGATTTGAATCTGTTGCATAAATAGCCCCCAAAAAATTGAACAATGCGCTAGTTTTAAATTTTGCCTAGAAAATCATTTATTATTTACATCGAACTTGAACTGGTGTAAAATTTTAGTTCACAATTATGTTGTGAATTATTTAAATTCAAAAGAAATTTAAATGAAGAATCAACATGCAAAAAAACATCTTCAAATTCGAACTACTGGCTAAACCCAACTCCCACAAGCAATATATATGAAGTTTTAGCTAATCCTAATACCGAAGACTCGAGTGATAAATGCAGCCCAGTTAACAGACCGCCGCCAATTTTTATACATGAGGTACGTGATATCAAACCATTAGCTCAACTCTTAGAATGTGAAGCAAAAAATCTTTATCAAATAAAAGTTATTGACGAAACTAGGGTTAGAGTTAATCTTGATAATGCTAAACTTTACAATAAAATTCTCAAACTTCTGAAAGAGAGGGGTACTCAAATGCATTCTTTCCAGGAGAAATGTAAAAGAACGTTCAAAATAGTGGTTAAAAACCTACATTTCAGCACGGATACAGATATGCTCAAAAATGAAATACAACAGTTAGGTCACAAAGTCGTTCGTATTGAGAACATTAAAAGCAGAATCTCAAAATTCCCTCTGAACATGTTTTTAATTGAGCTTGAACAACAGCCTAATAATAAAGATTTTTATAAAATTGATTTTTTATATAAAACTAAAGTAGAAATAGAGGCAAAGAGGTTCTCTAGAGAAATTGTTCAGTGCACTCGCTGCCAAAGGTATGGTCATACCAGAAATTATTGCCACCGCACCCCCAGATGCGTTAAATGCGCTCAAGATCACTTGACAGAAAAATGCAAGTGGGAAAAAAAGGTCGACCAAGTGAAGTGTGTCCTTTGTAATGAAAATCACCCTGCTAACTATAAAGGCTGTCACGTCTATAAAGAATATATTGAAAAAAAAAAACACTTCATTACGTCAGAAAACAAGTAATGTGCAAAATTTAAAACCAAATGCTACTTTAAGACCGGGCGTAACTTACTCCAATATTACTAGAAACAACACAACTTTACCTACTGACTCAACGAACTCAATAAACAATAGTAACTCTGAAAACAATACTAACAATAAATGTAATGACTTAACAGAACTTAAAAACATGATTAAAATATTGACAGAACAAATGGGCATAATGCTTAATTTACTAACAACAATTTTATCTAAAAAAATAATTATGTCTATGCAACTAACAATTTGCATATGGAACTCGAACGGCTTGAGCAATCATGTCCATGAACTCAAACAATTTTTAACTACCAATGACGTAGACATTATGCTAATTTCCGAGACGCATTTTACCGAGACAAATCACAATATTCGTTTTCCTAATTATCACACATATACCACAAATCACCCGGACGACAGACCTCACGGTGGCACTGCCATTATCATAAAGTCAAACATAAGACATTACGAGACAGAACCTTTTCATACTGACTACATACAATCGACAAATGTTTTAATTGACCTAATGACTCACAAAATTACAGTATCGGCAATCTATTGTCCGCCAAGGCACATTATTACTGAAAATCAGTTTACAACTTTTTTTACCAGCCTTGGAAATTTGTTTATTGCGGGAGGTGATTATAACGCAAAGCACACATTTTGGGGATCTAGACTAATAACACCTAGAGGCCGTCAATTGTATAATACAATAAATAAAATAATCTTCGGACATTTTCTACGGGTGAGCCCACATACTGGCCAACTGATTTGAACAAAATTCCAGACCTCCTCGATTTTTTTGTAGCCAAAATATTAAAAACGAGAGTGTTGAAATAATTTCAAGTCTGGATCTCAGTTCTGATCATTCACCAGTAATTCTTAAATACTCCACTAATACTCCAACCAAGGTCATGAGTTCGCTTACAAACAAATTTACCGATTGGCTTCTTTTCCAAGAATACATCGAAGACACCATTAACTGTAATATTCCATTAAAAAGTGAGAATGATTTGAATATCGGTATCAACAACTTCACAATACATTAATTGCAGCAGCTAAAATATCGACTCCTATTCTAAATCACAATCACAGTCACTCTGTGCCCATAGATATTAAAAAAATCATTGCACAGAAAAGGAAATTAAGAAGAATTTGGCAAATAACTAGATCACCGGAAGATAAAAGAAAATTTAACAGTGCATGCAGAGACCTGAAAAATTTAATAATAAATTATAAAAATGTTTCTCTTGAAAACTACTTACATAATCTTTCTGCAAGTAGTGAAACAAATTATTCTCTTTGGAAAGCAACCAAAAAATTTAAAAGACCAATTGTACCAATTCCTCCTTTAAGAAAAACAGACGGTTCATGGGCAAGAAGTCCAGAAGAAAAAACTAATGCATTCGCCGAACACCTGCGCCTCACATTTCAGCCATTTTCACGTAAATGCAACTCTAATGATGAACAATTCATTTATGATTTTCTTCAGGATTCACCGTCGCTAGTGACTCATGATGTTAATCGTTTTACTGCGGCTGAAGTAACCCAAGAAATTGCAAAAGCAAATTCTAGAAAATCACCTGGACCAGACCGGATTTCTATTAAAATGCTTAAAGAACTTCCAAGAAAAGCTATTAGAATGCTCACAATAATATATAACTCTATACTGAGAATGAAAACTTTTCCGCAGTCTTGGAAAAGAGCTAAAATAATCCTTATAGTGAAACCAGGTAAAGACCCTTATCTATTATCTTCCTACCGGCCGATAAGTTTATTGTCTTGCATATCGAAAATATTTGAAAAGCTAATTCTTCAACGGATTAAAATAATCCTACAAGAACAAAGTTTTATTCCGAACCATCAATTTGGGTTTCGCGACAAACATTCAACAATTGAGCAAGTTCACAGAATAATAAACGTAATTAACAATGCGCTGCATAATAAAGAGTACTGTTCTGCGGCTTTTTTGGATCTCAAGCAGGCATTTGACAAAGTATGGCATACCGGATTAATGTATAAAGTTAAAAGATGTTTACCAGATTCTTTATTCCTATTAATAAAATCCTATTTACAAAATAGAAACTTTTTTGTCAGCATCGCCGATACGGACTCAAATATTACCGAAATTAATTCTGGAGTGCCTCAAGGGAGTCCTCGCCCCAACACTATTTTAATTTTACAGCTGATTTTCCAACTTCAACTGACACGAGTTAG